CAGGAAGGAAGGAGTTGGGGTATGTATGACACTGCAATGACGGAGATAATCGCTGGCCTGTTCTGGTTTTTTCCGACCGAGCAGCGTCCACATCTGCTTCTTGGCCATCAAACGTTTACCGGTCGTCAGCGCACCGATCCGATTATCTTTCCCAATCTGGCGTTCTCCGCTCACTTTTGGCCTCTATTGACTGAACCGTCATCGCGCTAGTCCTATATATTCCAGACAGCCATGTCGAACCAAGAAGAAGACCAGAACAATATGGATTTCGGAAAAGGTGGCCATCTCATTGTTGTCTCCAATCGTCTCCCCATCACCATCAACAAGGACGCCAATGGCGAGTACCACTTCAAAATGTCTTCGGGCGGTCTCGTTTCCGCCCTCTCTGGCTTCAAAAAGTCCCTCAACTTCACATGGATCGGCTGGCCCGGATTCTTCATTCCCCCAAAAGATCGTCCTCTAGTCGACAAGCGCCTCATGGAAGAATACTCCTGCCAGGCCGTCTATCTCGACGATGAAGTAGCCGACCGGCATTACAACGGTTTCTCCAACTCGATCCTCTGGCCACTATTCCATTACCACCCGGGCGAGATGAACTTCGACGAGGAGAACTGGCTCGCGTACCGCCAGGCCAACATGCAATTCGCCGAGGTCGTTCGTCAACAAATAACGCCTGGCGCCATGGTGTGGGTGCAGGACTACCATCTCATGCTCCTCCCAATGCTCCTCCGCGGCATGATCGACGGACGCAAAAACGTTGGAACCTTCACGAGTGAGGAGTTGACCAAGATCACTGAGGGAATTGACGTCACCGCTTTCTCGTCCACTCAACCTCCCACGCCTGGCGTGAAGATTGGTTTCTTCCTCCACACACCCTTCCCCAGTAGCGAAATCTACAGGTACGCTGGTGTTGTTTAATGTCTCAGACATACCCTAACGCCGTGCAGAATTCTGCCTGTTCGTCGGGAGATTCTTCTTGGCGTGCTGTACTGTGACCTCATTGGGTTCCACACCTACGATTATGCTCGTCATTTCCTGTCATCATGCACCCGTATTTTGGGTCTTCCGACGATGCCTAATGGTGTTGAATTCGAAGGCCGCCTTGCTCATGTGGGCACCTTCCCCATCGGAATCGAACCCAACAGCTTTATCGATGTGGGTGCCCCTTCACGCATTTTTTTGTAAGCTCGGCTCACTCTGTTTTTAGAACCTGAAAAAGCCGTCCGTTGTCGACCGTGTGAAGCAGCTGGAGCAGCGTTTCGGCGGTGTTAAAGTCATTGTTGGTGTGGATCGTCTCGATTACATCAAGGGCGTTCCGCAAAAGCTGCATGCTCTTGAACTGTTCCTCACGCAGCACCCTGAATGGATTGGAAAGGTGTGTTCTGAAACTCTTCTTGAGGTGGTTTCGGCTAATTTCTCCAGGTTGTGCTCGTCCAACTCGCTGTGCCATCACGGCAAGACGTCGAAGAATACCAAAATCTGCGATCGACGGTGAACGAGCTTGTTGGCCGTATCAATGGTCGTTTCGGCACAGTGGAGTTCATGCCCATACACTTCATGCACAAGAGTCTGCCTTTCGATGAGCTTTGCGCGCTTTACACCGTCAGTGATGTCTGTCTTGTGTCAAGTACACGCGATGGAATGAATCTTGTATGCGTCTTTCATTTTACTTCCATACATTGGAGTGCTCATTGAAAACTGCAGGTATCATACGAATACATCGCATGCCAGCAAGCGCGTCAGGGTGTCCTCATCCTTTCCGAGTTTGCCGGTGCCGCTCAAAGTCTGAATGGGTCAATCGTTGTCAACCCATGGGACTCTCAAGAGGTTGCGGATGCGATCCATGAGGCTGTGACGATGGATTCCACGACACGGGCAGAGAACCAGCGCAAACTGTTCAAGTACGTGAACAAGTATAGCGCTGCGTTTTGGGGAAGCAGTTTCATCAAGGAGATGAGCCGGATTGATGCAGAGGACGTAGGAAAGGAAGGTCAGGCGGAACTTCACGTCAAAGCTCACGATGAAGCGTCCTACGGAAACCTAATCGTCACCGAGTAATTGCCAGCAACTACATAAAGCTCTGTTAGAGCACGTCACTCTTTCAACTTTCCAAGAAAAGGAAAAGGTCAAAATGAGGCGACTCCGATGCAAAAGGAAAGTTCACATCGCATATGTTTAGAACCACTTATTGTTTTTAGAATTACTACACTACGCTATTCCCACCTCGACATAGAGAGTATGAATGGGACCGTTTCGTCATGACATGCTAGTTCTCTTTCTTTTCCCACTTTCGTACACGCCTCAACACTTTCAGTCCGGTGGATATATGTCTCGTGGACATATCCATGCAGTATCCTTCCGTTTGTTCGATCATCCTTCTAATCGTCTGCTACGTACGACCCGGGCTCCGGTACGTAGTGGAGTCAACATAGTACATTGTCTATAATAATATTTATGTGCAGTATACCTACACTTCTACCTCGGATATGCTCCTTGGGCTCACGAATCATGCGAAGTTGACTTGCAAGATAACGTTACTGCGGAAAGGGGTATATTTTATCTCGTTAGCGAATGGGTTATGTGATTCGTAGACTTTTTTCATGCCACCGTGAACGGGAAAATATTATAAATAGACTGCCTGGTGACCCACAACTTGGACAACGGCAAACCGGCAATTGCTTATAGGTCCCCATTTGGCATCGATTTTGCCCGATAAAGAAGTTACCTCTGCACGTCAGAATTATGAATAGGAACACGAAGCGTCGCACGTTGCTTAAGATTATCTCTACTTTCTCCAAAGCTCCTCAAAGAGAACCATGGGGTGTGAAAGGTAGGGATGTTGGTCCGTTTGGAGGAACCTCGTGTACGCTAAAAGGAATACACAAGGCAGAGACACAGCCTCGCTGTCAAAACAGGCTAGAAATATCAGCAGGAGTGTGCCGAAAGCGCGCGCTGGCACACCAATACATATGTAGCACCGTCCTTCATGGGTTTGAAGGTTTGAGGCCATAATAGGCTGAATTTTCACTCGAGAGGTCATCGACTTATCAGTCGTGTGGAATATCCCTGAGGTGTACAATGGTAAGTATCTTGGCGAGTGGTGCAATAAAGTCACAAGTTCACAGCAGTTGCAGATGCGGAATACCAAGCCCGCTTTGTTTTGCATAGACTAACATGTGCAGCACGGTTGCAATGAGTTGTCTCAAAAAATTATTTGGCAGAACCCATGCCAGTTTCAACGTTATCCGACCCAAAGCTGCAAGGCTTAGCGGGCGTTTGTAACGTTATTGGAGCTCATTTGAAGATGAGCTGTTGTTTTAGAGGTACGTGGATAACCGCACTCCTAGGTCGGTGAACCAGTCTCTTGCTTATAATTGACGCGTCGTTGTCAAATCGCTGGTGCGTTCTGTTGCGAATGGTATCATGTACTTATTTCTCTTTTCGATTTTTGAAGCAAGCTACGAGGATAACGTGGCAACCTTCTTTAAAAAGAACAGACCTTAGGTTTGAATTTCCAATCGTTTATAAGTATAAAGAAATGATACTATGCGTGTATCACGCCCTCAACCCTTTGTTGAACCCACATACGAATATTACGAATCTAGCGACCTGCGTTGCAGTACTTGCAATTAAAGTTGAAAGTCCGTCTGAATAGCTCTCTCTTACGCTAAACACGTGCATCATTGAGTGGCTCTTAGCACAAGCATATTAGAGGCAGAAGGTAATCACGTCAGTGAGGCTGTACCGCCCAGGCCAATGGTTCATCCTAAGAATTCTTTCAGAAGACTGGCAGAACAAGTTTTTTGTCCACGCCGGTGCAAAGATGGCTTCTGATTTGAAAGAACAGAATATTTTGCTTCCTTCTACGTTTTTCTGGAAGAGATTTCTATGCGGATAGTAATCTGAACAAGTCATATCTACATAGTGAATCTTAAACTTCCCTTAAAACTCTAGGGGGAGTTAAAGCACTTCGGCGCTCTTGCGCGTCAACATGGAAGTCGATGCCATAGTTGGACTTTGCCAATATGTAATCTCCATAAATAAAAGCATAGCGAAGTTAACTCTCACAGCACCGCAGCATCAATAAATCCCCTCGACTGAGTTATGTCAATGATATCAGCTATCAAATAATGCATCAGACGCTTCATACCTTCAGAGATGAATCCGTGCATATGTGGATGGATACCAGTTCTCCAAATGGTTCTTTACAAGACAGTTCCTATCTGAAAAATCTCATGGCGAACCGGTTCATTTGTTGCTGACCGCTGAACGCTTGTCGCAAGCTAGAATTTGGCACGAGGCGCACAATCTATTATTAAGCGCCCATTGTCCGATGCAAGTACGTAATCACTGCGAAGAGATGCACTTGCTAAAATTTCAGAACTAGATTTTCCAGGCGCCAGTAGCTACATTTTGACATTGAAAAGCCTTTGAAAATGTTTTCGTTAATAGGGTTACGAGCGTTCTTCAAAGTCTCCGGACTCACCCCGCTTAGCACTGGTCCGTTCTTCTCTCCAAGACTCAAGCCGGGGCGTAGATTTGTACCGTTACTACTTACCATAACGGACATGTAAGTTAAATGGGAATTAGGGCACTCTAAAGGCGGTGCAGAATCTGTTGAATGGAACTGCGCACGTTCAATTATACGGATAGTATTCAACACTCATTGGTCGGTCCAAGCCCGGGTTCCAAGTAAACTGCTTAGCCTGAAGGGGACTGCCACAGTGCGTGCTGACTGACAGTGGCGGTTTTCTGCCAATCCAATGAGAGGCACAAGACTCGGAATTCGGAATGATTTGCGGTGGTTGATATCGTTCAGAATTGTTGTATTCCAGATTGATGTCAAGAAGTTATGCACGTCTTACTATTGTCTTAATTTTATTTCAGTTGCACAATGGAGCTGACTCCTGGAGTCTTGGACAAAAGTGGTACCCATGTCCGTAAAAACAATGTATTTTGGGGGAGTCATATTGACAACCAGAATGAAAACTGACCAAAAACGACGGGCCTGGGACTCGAACCCAGAATCTTTAGCTGGTTTGACTAACCGGAAACTAACGCGTTGCCATTACGCCAACCCACCAATCATAATTTTATTACAATGAGTCATCAGGTTCTGCGGATTGGATTGCACTATTTTTGTCTCAGAATGATGATTCATGAAAGCGTCATCGCGACTCCATTCCATTTCCCGTTCGGATACGCCCCCATTGTCCAAGTGAATTGGGGTCTTTGAACGCGAGAAACACCATTTCCAAAGTAGGGGTTAATTGGAAACCAAACGACGTCAGTGCAATTAAGCCACCTCCAAGAAAACTGGCATGACGAAAGTGCGTTGCATGAACGGCTGGTGTCGCCTCCGTCGACATAACAACAATGCATACGACGTAAATGAATACGTAGGCATGAGAATTAACGCTACAAAACTATGGAAACGAGCGATCTCAACCTCAAAGGCAAATTCACTGAGCGCAAAAATAGTACATGGGGCTCGAACCCCACTACACCAGTCTCGAGATGAGCTTGTCAATACAAATCGCATTCGAGAATATACCTAGATGATTACTTCAAGTCGAATCTAGTGTCCAGATTCATGGAGTTAGGTCCAAGAACGACTTCGTTGGAGTGAATATTCGGCGTCATAATTTGTCCCAAATGGAATTTTTCGAATGACTTCGGCTGAACCAAGCAAGAACAGAAGCAGTGTCATAACAATGAAAACATACATCCGAAGCGTCGAATCAAGGTTCAGAATAAGGATGTTGCTGCATACGCGCGCAGCAGCTGGGAGGCAGTGAAGTCTAGGATGCGGAGAGGAGCGATCGGCGGCTTGCATAGTTCACATCCCACACGAATATATTGGAGTGGGAAAGACTTGCATCATGATATGTCAGAAAACATTTTACAAACCATCTATGAAGTGCTTAGTACTCCTCTATGTCGCCTTCGGGCTGCGCACATGGATCGAACCGTTCTTGACTGTTGGAGTCGGGCGAGAGGTCGGAAAATCTACGAGCGGTGGCGGCGGGGGAATTTCAGAAAGACAGCAGCCATGCGTATGGCGAGACATTATCTGCACAGCCTTCTCTTCCCCACTTCCCAGTCCCTGCTCGCGTATACCCGAGAGAAGGTTAGGCACACGGATCTACTTATAGGCGTTTTTCGTGTCTTTTTATGGGTATGCGTGTTAGAAAAGTGTACACATGGTGTTGGCGTGTCGTTCGTGGTCTGTGGGGTACCTCGATGCTTGGGGGAAAATTTTGAATGGATCGAGTCGCTTGGGTACTGTTGTACATCCTTGATTTGGTTATCACAAGAGTTCAGAGTGAACGGGCAACGGACAATGTACTTAGGAGTGGCGCGGCGGGTAAGGAACCCGCTGTTCTTATGTGTCGTAATTTATGCATTGATACTGTTATCGAATAAAGAAGGTTCGTCAGTGAGAAAATGGGAATGTCGCAAGTTAAACGCACGGATCAGAGCCGCTGGTATAGGGCATGTGCATTTAATACAACAGGCAGACTTCCTCACTGCTCAGGGTAGGGTTGACGCCCGCTGTTGACCACTAAGTTTCATTTTGGTGGTTCACAAATTTGTGCTGCAGAGGCGTGCAAGTGGCGGGTCAAAAATCACTAGCGGAATGAAATGCTGGTCGTTGTAAGTTAGTACTTGTAACTGTTCGATGAAAACGAACAGAGAAAGAACGTTCGCGACCTACGCCGAACCGCGGGCCCGCCGAGTAAAAACCCTAGGTGAAGCCATGATTGGGTATGCCAATCATATGTGATCGGACAGGAGGTGGAGAGACGAAAGGCGCCAAGTTGGATTTGCAGTCTTGTCGTCATTTTCTTGGTGTAGTGCTGCGATAAAGACGATCCTTCAAGGGTGCTGCGAAAGCGATATGACGCCGATTGCCAGCCATGACGAGGTTACGGAGCAGGGGTGTGGGCCCAAGCTGTCTAGACGTCGCGAGATTGTTCTTGGACGAAGAGAACTTTGGAACGCTACCCAGAGCAGAAACGAGGTGATCCCAAGGAGGTCCTGGCGTATTTGTATCCTTATGGCCAAGGGAGTTGGCAAGGGAGTCAAGAAATCCAAGCACAAGCAAATTGGACGACGCACGTGCTGTTTGAGGCTGAATTTAGTCAAACCCCAAGTTGAACAGTCACCGAGTTCACCGCCTGCCTTCACTAGGGTTGCGGAAAAAAGTGACCCTTTTTATACAAAATGTAAATTACCTAGGTAAATTACACTTTTTTACCACTTTTTTACATTTTGGGATATCAAGTAGGTATAAAAGTATAAAAAGGTGTGCCGGCCCGGGAATCGATCTAGCGACCACCACCGAACGGTGGATTCCTTGAGTCCTTACATAGTCAGAGTACCAGTGCCCTACGCATCCTTACAACCTAATACCAACATGAACATAATCCCACTTAATTTTGTAACGAATTTTCCGAGGGCACGTGATTAAGGGAAAAAAGTGGTAATTTACCCGGTAATTTGCCATTTATACCAAGCCGAAAATTTTGGGACGGTAATTTACCACTTTTATGCACGCGGTGGACTTTTTTCCGCAACCCTAGCCTTCACAGCGTCGGGCACCGCGACTGCGCCTACGTCTTCAGGAAGCTGTAGCGCTACAGCCGCCCCGCTCTTCAATTCACCGGACGGCCAAACGAACCGTTCGTTTAATTGGGTGTGTGGTGTGGAACCATTTTGGACGCACAGCCTCGCTCACAGCAGAATTCACTCTTGGCGAACCCTATAAGACAGCAAGTAGATCCCAACTCGCTTTCCCTTTCACGCCATCCATACCACAGCCAGTGTTCACCTGCTCGTAGTATGGCTTCCTCGGATGATGGGCACTCTATTCCTTCTATCAACATAACCATCGACCCGCCCCAGGCCAGCGACCACGTGTCGCCGCCGCCGTCTGGCGGCCTATTGTCTCCAACGAGCTACGGCTCGCATGGCCCCGGATCCCCGACACACTCAGACTTCAGTTCTGCTCCCCCATCCCCCACGCTGTCGAGCCATTCCGTGCAATATCCCACCACGCTGCGCTTACGACAAAACTATCCTGAACAGTCGTCAGGTCTCACGTCGCTAAATTTACTGAACCCAAACGATCATATTCGCAAAGGCAGCGATGCCACTTCTCTTACGGATGTAGAGTCTGCTGAACTTCGGCACGTTCCATCAACCAGGAGTTCTTTAACGCATGTTGACCATACTTCGCCTCCCAGTCAGACCAAGTTACTTGACGCGCCTGTGGTGGACGAGAAGGAAGAGAAGGACACGGACAAGAAGAAGAAGAAGAAAGGAAAGAAGGGAGATGACGACCAACCCACACAGACAGCGCACGAACTCGAACTCTCGCAGGATGAGGCTATTGACCCTGCCCCTTTTCTCTTCAAACCATTCCAACTTGCGCATACACTCGACCCCAAAAATCTCTCTGCCCTTACATCTTTTGGCGGTGTAAAGGGTCTCTTACGCGGTCTTGGTGTCGACCCGGAACATGGACTCTCATCTCTCTCTTCCTCAGCGAAAGCACATGCGACTTCACATTCTCAACTTCCTGAAAAGGATTTCGCGCACCGTGCGAATAGCGAGGATCTGCCGGAAATTGTGCTCACTGAGCCTGGAGGTAAAGTTGCGTCTCCCACCGCTGCTGATGATGGTGCCGCGTTTCATGCGTCACTGGAAGACCGTCGGCGTATTTTTGGCGAGAATGTTCTGCCCACACGCGTCAGCAAGACGCTCTTGCAACTTATGTGGCTCGCTCTGCAGGACAAGGTTTTGGTGCGTTTTTTCCCCCCCCTTTTTCCTACTTATCTTCGTGGCGCTTACCCTACCTGTAGATCCTGCTTTCAGTTGCCGCAGTAGTCTCCTTGGCTCTGGGCCTTTTCCAGGACTTTGGAACGATCCGGAAACCTGGTGAGGCACCTGTGGACTGGGTGGAAGGTGTTGCTATCATGATTGCAATTGCGATTGTTGTAAGTTCATATTTCACAGATCCGGAATTAACAGCTAAAACACCCGGAAGGTCGTTGTGGGTTCTTTGAACGATTGGCAAAAGGAACGGCAGTTTAAAGCGCTGAACGAACGTAAAGAAGAGCGTGGTGTCAAGGTTACGCGCGATGGAGTCGAAAAAATGGTTGATATCAAGGTTAGCGCCGAAGTAACTTGCATCTTTGTTGTCCATTTATTGACGTTGGCTTGTAGGAAGTCGTCGTTGGTGACATCGCCCATTTGGAACCTGGTGAAGTCGTGCCCTGCGATGGAATTTTCCTATCTGGCCACAATGTCAAATGTGACGAGTCTGGAGCTACGGGAGAGTCAGATGCCATCAAGAAAGTTCCATACGCTGAGGTTCTGGAGCTACATCGCCAGGCGGTTGCCGCAGGCAAAAATCCGGAAAGCGGCCATACGGACTGCTTCATCATCTCGGGCAGCAAGGTGCTCGAGGGAGTTGGCACATATGTTATTGTTGCGGTCGGCACGAAAAGTTTCAACGGCCGTATCATGATGGGTGAGTTAATACCATTTTTACTCCTTATTTCTCGTGAAATTCAATTTATGTGACTTTCACAGCTTTGCGTGGCGATACCGAGAACACACCTCTCCAACTGAAACTCAATGCACTTGCAGAGCTTATTGCCAAGCTCGGATCAGTGGCTGGTTTAGCCCTCTTTGTTGCCTTGATGATTCGGTTCTTTGTCCAACTAGGCAAACACGAACCTCCTCGGTATGTTCGAAAATAAGCATGTTCACGTTCCACTCTCATCATTACAAATAGTTCTCCGAGCGAAAATGGTATCGCATTTGTTAATATACTCATTATTGCGGTCACTTTGATCGTTGTCGCCGTTCCTGAAGGTACTTTCTCTAAATCATGTCTACATATTCATTGACTGACATTATATACTTTTGATAGGTTTACCATTGGCTGTTACTCTTGCTTTGGCATTTGCGACGAAACGAATGACATACGAAAACCTCCTCGTCCGAGTGCTTGGGTCCTGCGAGACGATGGCGAATGCCTCCGTTATCTGTACCGATAAGACGGGTACACTT